TAGTTGACATACATTGAATGGCGCTGTATGTAGCCTATAATCTTTGAACTAACAAAAATTTGTGGTGGTTCATGACTTATTAATATACACACACATACTTTCGATTTTATAGGTATAGAAGATTTATATAATTTTAATCGAATGTTTTACTTTTCCGCACACACATTTCATTTCTGGTTGAATATGATGACTAGTTTTACAAGTTCCTGCATATATATGAAACATTGAATTTTTAAAGGAACTTTAATATAGAACAAACTAACTCATTTTTTCATTTTCTTTACAGGATATCGCTGACACTTTCGAAGGAAATTTCAAAGAGCAAAATGGGCTTAATTCAAACTGGTTGCCAGTTAATAGCGCTCAGGTTAGTATATTTGAACTGGTGGGGATTAAAGTGAGCGATGAAAATAAAAGACCAACATGAAATTTTTTTATATGGAGTTTTTGTTGTAATAACAACAACAAATCTATGTAAAAAAATGTCATGATGCTATTTATTTCTCATCGGGTATTTAGCTGACTTTAATCCTTACCAATTCATTTATTTTATTACTAAATTGAGTATAAATAATTATAATGAACATAAAATATTAATTTTGATTTGTTATAATTCCCCAGATACCAGATCCTCGACCTGGATCATGCCATAATGACTCAAGAACACTGCCTGATGCAACTCTGAATTTCATAAAAACACATTCACTTATGGACGAAAATGTTCCGGCATTTTTCGGACAACCAATTTTAATTCGAACAAGCACAATGTAAAATTTTATTTTCATTTATGTGATTTACGAACTAATATCCTGGACACGTTGTTGTCGAAATAATTATCGTTATTGATAATTATCGTTAATAATTATCGTTATTGTAATTCAAAAAAGAAAATCATAATTTTGTTTTCTATCTTAGATACCGATTTACACAAATTGCTGTTGACCCACAAATAAAAACGCCAGGAGGAAAAACTTATGACGTCATATTTGTGGGAACGGGTGAGTAATGATAACTTTTTTTTTAATTCATTAATATATAATAGAACGATTGACAAAACCAAAATTTGAAACACTGAATCAATTTTGTGACGAAAATAGTTGGTAGATATTTCTTCAAAACGTTGCAGAAATGTTTTCTTTTTACTTTGAGAGTTTTCCATACTGACGCAATGAAGCAATCTCACAAAAAAAATAAAGAGGCCTACGTAGTCAAGCTGACTTTTCCGCATGGCAATGAAATTTTGAGAATAAAGTGAAATTATGGTCTATTTATGGTTGCAGTAACTTAAATTACCGTGAAAACTTATGAATATCATTTTCTTATCAAAATAAATAGTCTCACAAAGTTTAAAGAAATTTCAATCAAAATATAGGTTCCCTCATACAAAATTTTCGATTTTTGGCTCAACGCTAATTTGCATTAGAATTTCAAACTTTCGTAATGTCATTTTTTGGTTAAAAAAACAACTTTTGGAAAGTTTCACGTCATTACGCTAAAATATTTTTTTTTTTGTGAATTTTTGTACGAAAAGTCTGTGAAAAATTGATTGCATCGTAAAATTAACATCAGATTTCGGTTTTGTCATGCCAAAAAGCCTTCCACTACACATTCTTTCAGCGTTCAAATTGAAAGAATATCATTTCAAGGCATTTTTCTT